ATACGCTATCCCTAAAACCTACATTTAAAAACCTTGCAAAATTCCTACATGATCTCGACTCAAAGACTCCTAGGTGGAGCAACCACATGATAGTCAAGCCTATGGCAATTTCCAGAGGTTGAGCTACTTCTTTGTGAGAGAGATTTTGAATTTTTCTATCTATGCCCTACTTTGTTCTACATCTATGATATTGTGTGTATATGGGCATCTCTCTTCATTTGGTGAGGACACACTTAGGATTAAGAAATATATGAGTTGTCAGTTCTCAAAGGTGAATATGAGTACGGTTAAAAGTTGTCTGAACTTGTGAATCGGTGCTTAATTACTTTTTCTTTTTGCGAAAGCGTCTCATGATTTTGTTAAATGTTTAGCTAATATGTTTAGTTATTTTATTTGCTCGAGGACAAGCAAATATTTAGTGTGGGGAATTGATAAGTGCATTTTACTTTGATTTTTTAACAATAAATTTCTTTGAAAAACACAAAAAATATTCTTCCATAACTTGTCTAATTATGCAGGAAAGGTTAAAGAAGTATTGGTCCGGTGAATAAGAGATTATAGAGGAAAAATTAGACAAACGGACAAGCTAAAGCAGAGTAAAATATGCGTGCAAAGAAAAGAGTGATTTGCCAACAAAGGACAACCGACTCACAACCGGCTACAAGCAAAACTATAACCGACTTCACAAACCGGCTACAATAACCTAACCGATCCATAACAAAGAAGCTCATAACCAGCATACAAGGCCAGCAACCAGCATGACAAGTTCATATACCAGAAGAAATTGAAATCTTGATCATGGCTTGCCCTATAAAGAGGCATCGTTCGTGAAGGAAAAGAGGGAGAAGAATCTGAGAAGTGAAATTGAGCAGAAAGTTTTTTCTTTCTGTTTGTTTTCTTTAGTTTTGTTTATTTTCATCTTTTAGCCATTACTCTGCTTCATTCTATGTTCTGAATAAATTGTAGTATTGGAAATTACTCTAGTTCCTGTTTTTAAATTAAAGAGTAGGAATATTCTCTTGAATATTCTTCTATTTCCTTATTTAACGGGCAAGATTTTTCGTTGTTGGTATAACTCCATTATGGAGTAACTTTTCTTTGGGTTGGGAAAATGGACGGATCTTAATATTTTTAATAATAGTAGATATTCATTCTTCAATTCGCATACTGAGCTGAAGCTTTTTATTTAAATTTATCTGCTTATATAGTTGTTATTAATGTTAACATCTATCCTATTTAGTACTACATATTAACTTCTTACTAATTCTGTAATCGAAAAGAGGCAGAAAGTATAAACTAATTTGGTATTGATCGATGTTAACCTATAATTTAGTGACATCTAGCCATATATATGTTAAAATTGATTATACACTTATTTGTAATCAAAAGAGGCGAGATAGTGTACGTAATAAGTTATAACAAGTAGGCGTAACCGAAAGGACTTACCTTAAAAAAGAGACAATGCTTTAGGTTCAAAGATATATATTTCTGGTTCGTTTATATTTTACCATTCTTAACAATTAAATTGTATAACCCGAGAGGAGTGCATTTAATTGTTCAACTGATAGTAAATATATAATGTAATCGTGAGCAGGCATTTTTAACATTTTTTGAGAAATAGAAGTTAGAAGAAGAATGTATCTACTATAAAATAAATAATTAGTAAGTCAGGCATCGCCAAACACCTCTTTATTATATATATGGTGAAAAATAAAATATTTCTAATATGCCTATCTGTTTCTCGTATTTTTAGTTAGTTATTCACACACTCAGACTCTTTCTGAAGTTTTCTCACATAGTAATTAAACAAGAAACGTCTTAGAATAGATAAACCAATCTCTGTGGGTTCGACATCCTTTCTATACTATAAATTTGACAGAGTACGAAGTTTACTTTATAACAACGCCAGGCAGTACTCGTACACCACACACACATTAATCAAGCTCACAGCAGTAAAATCTACAAGTACAAAAATGAGAAGTCAAGATAAGTAGTCACACGGGACATGGTGTCTCCTTGCATTATATTTGGCATCAGTAGCAGAAAAAACTGTATAGACAAGAACAAAAGTGCCAACAATCTCAATCCCCAGCACCAAGGCCATCTCCTTTGGTGTAAACCATGATTTACAACATTGGCACCTCCACCCTTAACCTGATACAAAGATGGCTGGAACCCTTTGACAACACCAGCACCACAGATTGCACCAAGGCATTGCATCACAATGTAGAAAACTGCCCTGGTTAGAGACAATTTCCTTGCCAGAAAAATACCAAATGTCGCAGGGTTAATGTGTCCACCTGATCAAATCCAAGAGTATCTCAATGTCAGAGCACAAAGAACAAAATATAAAGAATTTAAGTTATATACTGTAAATATTTCTAACACAATAAGTGTAGTTTTTCATGGGAAAGCAGGTCAAATACCATTTTTACCATACAACAACAAACTCGGTGAAATCCTAGACTTGGGGTCGGGTAATGGTAATGTGTAGACAGACCTTACCCCGACCTTGTGAAGGAAGAGAGATGTTGTTTCCCCTAGACCCACGGCTCAAGAACAGTGAAAAGGACACAATAAGCAAACGGTAACATGGCAAGAAAATAAGATAACATAAACAAATAACACAGCATGTAGTCGCAAAGAATCTAGGAATACAAAGCTATAAGAGAAGTGCGAAAATTGTAGAGATTTACTACCTTATAAGTAACAAGATTTTGTAAATATTTTTACACATCATAACACTGAAACACATTCTAAAAACCATTTCCGCTGAGGATCTGACATTTTTCAATAATATACTGCTAGAAGTTTAATCCAGTTCTAGCAGGAAATGCTATTAGTATAGCTAAGGAAATCCCATAACAACATTGCAATATAAAAGATAAACACTAAAAAAGCTATTCTGCTCCAAATTGTCCAAAAGGAAACTGTTACAATTTTGATGTATTATGGAACTTCAGAGAACTACTTCAAAATAAGAAGCTCAGTAACTGTCAAATGGGGTTCTCTTTTCCATTCAAAAGGTGAAGGGGGTATTATTTTCCTACACTAAAAGGTTAAGGGGGTAAAATAGAATTCACTGTATTTGCTACTTGTTTTACTTGCATATCTAAATTGTCATATGTCTTACTTGCCTTATAGTGTTATAATATTTATTGCTTTCTATAATGTGCTTTCACTTATATGAGTTGTCCAATTGATAGATACCAATGAGCTGGTAAGATTGAAACATTTGAGTTGTTAGAGATTCTTTGATTATTATGTGATTCTTCATTGCTTCGTACATTTACTTTCTTGATGTAGAAATTCTTGTAAATTTTGGTTGTTGAGTTGTTATTGTTGGTTGAAACTATTTGGGGAGCGAGTTACACGCCGCAACGGAAATTGAAAGGTAATGAATTGAAATGGCAAAATAAGGACGAATTATGATATTGACAGATGATAATATGGTGGAATCGGGTTGTGCGCAGCAACAGATTACATATGTTGTATTTTTTTGTGATTGTTGAATTTGCCTCGGTATTTTGAGATGAGTTTATAAGACTTGTTATTCTGGGCTCTCTATTAGTTGGATTTCGAGTTTATTTTTTTATGAGTTAACGGCTTCACTTCCATTTCCTGTTATTATTATTATTATTATTGCGTACGGGTTATTGTAAGTGTCCTACCTTAGCCTCGTCGCTATTTTATCGAGGTTAGGCTCGGCACTTACAAAGTACATGGGGTCGTGTGACGACCCAACACATCGTCTCATGTATTACAGCCCCGTTTCCCCCATTTATTGCTCTTTCATGTTTTATTATCAGCAACGGGTGAGTTAGAGTTGAATTGAATTGGTTTCGATAGGAAATGAGACACTTAGTCTCTTTAAGGAAGGTTTGGTTTGGAAAAGTCAACCGAACGTTGACTTATTAGTTATAAGGTTCGGATGTGAATTCCGGTGATTCGATTAGCATCGGGAGGTGATTTGTAACTTAGGAGTGCAATCGGAAGTGATTTTGGAGGTCCGGAGTAGAATTAGGCTTGAATTGGCAAGTTGGCATTTTGGCGAATTCCGGTGGATAGGTGAGATTTTGATCCGGGGGTCGGAATGGAATTCCGAGAGTTGCAGTAGCTTCGCTAGGTGATTTTGGATGTGCGAGTAAAATTTCAGGTCATTTGGACGTCGTTTGGTTGGGTTTTTGATCGAATGCGTAATTCGGAAGTTTTTAAGAAACTTAGGCTTGAATTCGATGTGATTTGATGGTTTTAGCGTTGTTTGATGTGTTTTACGGATGAGAACAAGTTTGAATGAAGTTTTAGGATGTATTGGTATTTTTGGTTGAGGTCCCGGGGGCCTCGGGGTGAATTCGGGTGGTGCCAACTTAGTGAATTTTGGTGTTTTTCGAGTCTTTTCGATTGGGTTATGTTTCTTTAGCCTATTGTAATGTATTCGTTGTGGTTTTAATCAGATTCGGCGTGCGAAGAGGTTGATTTGAAAGGCAAAGGCATAGCGAGCTAGACTTGTGGCCGGCTTGAGGTGAGTAATAGATGTAGATGATGACCTGAGGGTTTGAAACCCCGGTATATCACATTATGACGCTATATTGAGGCGAGACACGTACTCTATGACGAGTGCGGGGTCGATTGTGACTGGGAATTTTGACCTAGTCCGTTTCGATTGATGTTCGTACTGTGTTCTTGACTAGAAATTGTTTGGTAATCATCCTACTTGGATTTTATGAATATGGTTGGGGCTTTGTGCCTATCATTTGCATCCTTCAGGGATCCTTATCACTGCTTCCATGATGTTTAGCATATTTCATCATATCAACCCTGAATTAGACACTGACTCGAAATGTTAAGTAAATAAATAAAGGTTTAAACACGTAGCTCTATAATTCTTAATAATTGAAACTAAAAATGAATAATTTGACTGTGCCCGAGTGGCTTGCATGCATACATATATCTGGACTGAGTGTGAATCGGGCTGCACGCAGCAGCGAATGTTACTATGATATTGCGCTTGGGCTGTAGGAGCCCCTCCGGAGTCTGAACCCCCACAGTGAGCGCGGGTACCCAAATGGATCGGGCTGCGCGCCGCAGCGGTCATGTGCATTGCATTGCATTTATGCATTTTATATCTGTTGGTCTTAATTGTCATTGTCTGCGGTTGTTTCATCGTTTTATGTGCTGAATCGCTGATTATAGCTTTATATTGTAATATTTCGGAATTTCTTACTTTCAGCCATTATATATGTTTATTACTCACTGAGTTGGAAGTACTCACTTTACTCTCGGCACCATGTGTGCAGATTCAGGTGCTCTGGAGACTTAGTGGAGCTGTTTGTTATTTTTCGTGAAGTTATTTTCAGGAGTTGTTGAGGTAGCTGCCTGACGTCCGCAGGACCCGACTCCTCCCCTTTATTTCATTTGTCTTTCCATATCCTAGACTTCTTTATTACTATGGATATATTACTCTGTTACATCTAGAGGCTCTAGACTCATGACTCCAGATCTATTGGGGAATCTTTGGATATTCGTTATTATTTTCCATACTATTTTATTTAGTTTCGGATTGGAACATTGATATTTGCTATTTTAATCGTATTATTTGTTAACGGATTGCGTATTTGGGTTGAGAGTATTTAAATTGGTCGGGCTTGCCTAGCATTAGTGTTGGGCGCCATCACGATCGGGATTGGGGTCGTGACAAGTTAGTATCAGAGCCTAGGTTACTAGGCCTCGCGAGTCATGAGCCGGTTTAGTAGAGTCTCGCGGAACGGTACGGGGACGCCTGTACTTCTCCTCGAGAGGCTGCAGAACCTTTAGGAAAAACTCCATATTATTGAAATTCTTGTCGTGCGGCTTTGTGATTCGAGAACTAAATTCCTGTATTCTATTCTCTCGCAGATGGCGAGAACTCGTGCTACCGGACGCGATGGTCGACCACCAGTACCACCCACTAGAGGCCGTGGACGCGGTCGTGGTCGAGGTAGGGTAGCAGAGACAGCACCTACTGACCCACCAGCTGCCACAGTTCAGGACCAGACTCCAGCTGTCGATGTCCCAGCAGCACCTGTGCAGGCACCAGCAGTGCCTACTGCTATTCCTGGTCTCCAGGAGACCTTGGCACAGATACTATCAGTTTGTACTGGCCTGGCTCAGGCGGTCTCAGCTTCTACTGCAGCAGCTGCTTCCCAGGCCGGGGGAGGATATCAGACCCCTGTTGCTCACACACCTGAGCAGGTTGCCCAGGGATTTCAGACACCGGAAGCAGCCATAGCTCCTCCAGTTGCTCCAGTGGCTCCAGTTGCTCCAGTTGCACCAGCTCCAGCCTATGAGGTTCAGCTATGCCGGACGATGAGCAGCGTCGTCTTGAGAGATTCGGCAGGCTTCAGCCTCCGATGTTCAGCGGTGCTGAGGGCGAGGATGCCCAGGGTTTTCTGGATAAGTGTCAGCGTATGCTTCGCACCGCAGGGATCTTAGAGTCGAGTGGTGTGGCTTTTACTACTTTCCAGTTCTCAGGGTCTGCATTCACCTGGTGGGAGGACTTCGAGAGGCGTAGGCCGGTTGGTGCAGCGCCCCTTACATGGCAGCAGTTCTCCACTCTCTTTCTGGAGAAGTACGTACCGCAGTCTCACAGGGAGGAGCTGCATCGTCAGTTCGAGTGGTTGGTTCAGGGGGACATGTCTGTGACCTAGTACGAGTTGAGATTCACGCAGCTAGCTCGGCATGCCACTTGGATGATCCCGACAGATCGGGAAAGGATTAGGAGGTTCGTGGATGGCCTCAACTATTCACTCCGCATTTTGATGACCAGAGAGAGGGTTATGGGTGCCTCGTTTGAGGAGGTAGTTGACATGGCTCGAGAGATTGAGACGGTTCGCCGTCGGGAGCGTGAGGAGAGAGAGGCAAAGAGGCCTCGAGGTTCAGGTAGTTTCAGTGGTGCTCCGTCTAGGGGCCAGTTCCAGCGTGGCAGAGGCCGTTCCTTCAGGCCTCCTCAGTCAGGTCGTCCAGAGTACAGTGGGGCCTCTTCAGGCCGTGGTCATCAGGGATTTCAGCAGGGCCAGACTTCACTTAGTGCCCTTCCAGCTCAGAGCTCTACACCTGCCTCTTCAGCCCAGGGTTCTTCAGCAGCGAGGGGTTTCCATCAGTCCCCTTCTCCAGCGCCGGGTAGTTGCTACGAGTGCGGTGAGTTTGGTCATATGAGGAGACAGTGTCCTCGGCGTCGTGGTAGTCAGTCTCAGCAGAGGGATCAGCCCTCATCTTCTGCTCCTGTTTCATCAGCACCCGCCCAGTCAGCTAGGGGTGGAGG